TGGGTGGATGTGAGAGTGAGGACTGGACCTGGCACTCCAGATGGGAGATGATTGAGGAGTGAGGTGTGAGAAGAAAGGAGCAAAGTCAGAAGGGAGCCACCACCCCTAATGTCAGGGCTGCCCATGGCACTGACTTCCCTGGGTCCTTTTCAGGAAAGTAGGTGAATGACTAGTGCCATTCACAAACTGTTTAGTTGACATTCTAAAAAGTTATTTAGCAAGTTTCAAACAGAAAAAGAATGTATAATGGACCCAAAACAATAGTTCTCACCTTATTTATGATTTTTCTATTTCTGAATGAGTATTCTAATTTCATTGAGTACTCGAGTTTAATTTGATTATTTCACCCTATCAAGATATCACTTTATTCTCAGAATTTTCCTGTTAGTTGAAAATAGAAAAGTGTGTTATAAATTACATAGAACTTTTACACTGTATATAGTTTACAACATGTATTTATATGTAAGCTATTCATACCTAAACTTGGAAAGAGGGTAGGGATAGAGATTATGTGTGATTACTCAAATATCGGTGTATGTATATTGCTATATATTATTTGTAAATATGTATATATAATATATTTCTTATTAGAAATTATAATTTGAATTCTGTGGTAAAATTCATCCTTCCCTCTGGACATGGAGGCAAGTGCCCAATAAAATTAACAAACTTTTGCTCCAAGAACATTTATTTCTGAGGGTGCAATGTATCAATTTCAAGGTTGAGTTTCTTTAAAAATCAGGAGCTAATATTTTATGAATTAACATTCAAAGGATCAATATGAGCTAATCCACCACCTGACAACTGCTGGCATGAGGAAAATGTGGTCCCAAGACCACTGAGTTGAGGGTCTAAAAACAATTTTAACATGAAAATTTATGAAAGATATGGACACTCACTAGATACCTCTCAACAGTCTAAGAACAATGCTGTGCTGGCAGAAAACAGGAACAAAGACTGAAATTAACACTGAAGATATAAGCTGAATTCATCTTATGGGTTAACCTATTTCATGTTGTAATTCTATGAAAATCTCATGATTATTTTCAATTTTCCAAAGCATTTTTCTACATTTCCTTTTTAATAGCAACAGTCATTCAGGTCTCATACATTCTTTAGCTGAAGGTATTTTATTGACCCTCCTTTACTATCAATTAACATTTAACCAAAGATATTTCCCACATTTGTTATCACAAACTTTTAGTATTTATTAATACAAATTTTTCCCTTTTTCCTAGACCCAAAGACATAAGATCTGTTATTAGATTTTTTCCATTTCAGAAGCTTGAGTTTCTCTTCATAAATATTTTTATAAAAAGCTATTCCCCTAATATCACTGGATTATCTATCAATATAGTCCTACTTCATAGTTAAACTACCTCTGATATCAGCCCACAGTACCTAGCGAAGTCAGATCAATGTCAATCGAATCCATTTATCACTGATCATAATGCTTGCTTAACAAAGTTTTGTTTTCTAATTTGATGTACAGTGCTACTACATCTAAAACAACAACTCGCTTTTTCTATACAGCTATTCCTGGGAGCTGTATTCTCAGCTTCCTCCTTAAATTTTTGGAAAGACTATTTAGTAATAAAAAAAGTCCATAGATTCTGTTTTAACTTTTCCATTCTTACTTATTTTAACTTTCCATGAGACAAACCTAATAATGAAAAGCAATGCTAGTTAAAAATGTTGTCTCTAAAGGCCTGTCAAAGCTTGTATTTAGCATATATTTTTGGGGGTTGTGGGGGTGATGCAGCATAGTTCTTAGGTTTTTCTATTGCTGAAATAACACTGTAAATCTCTTCCTACCCGTGCCTTAAATTCCTCAGTATTTCTGGTCTTGCACAACAACATATCTGTGAGCTTATATGTCTTCTTAGAAATAACAGACTTACTTTGGAACATAAGCACTGAGGAAATGTTCAACCACTTGTGATCTTGCATTAGTACATTTTCTAAGCTATTCTAGGCAGAAAGAGCAAATCAGAGAAAGTTCTTACCTCTTGAAGGACGTAAGACAATGCACATCACCAATAAAGCAAGCACAGCAGAGGTGGCAACTCCAGATAGAATTTTTACCCAAGTCTACATAAAATAAAGAGAATTAGGCATACACACAGTTCCTGCTAAATAGTAGAAATGGAAAGATTTTGTTTACACTTAAATCCTATTTCTCTCACCCCACAAAGCTTTTGATTGCCTTCCACTGATCTGGCTATAATTGCTGGAATTCTTCCAGCTCTGCAGGGAAAAACGTTTCTACAATATATTTAGAGCAATTTTCCAATCCCAACCCATTCAGGAAGTAAATACTTATGTACAAATCCTTACTTTCTAAACAATAGAAAAGTCTGATTACATTCAATCCAGCCAACCCTCATTTTTAAGCAATACCTGTGTTTGCTTATACTAACCTTCATTTTTCCAGATGTTTTTGAAAGTTTGCTAATTCTGTCTTCAGAGTGTGGGTCACTGGATCTGTGAAAACCGTTGAAAAGGACCAAGTCTGTCTTTGCAGTTGGAAGCTGAAGTCAGGACAAGGTTTTTTTCTTTCCACGGACTTTTGAATACCGTGCCAAGTTTCAAAAGATTTCTGTAAAATTAGAAACAGATTTTGGGGGCGTTCTTGGCCCTCAAATGAACTGTGAGTGGCTCAAGGGAGGTTTTATAGCCTTCTCATCCTTGTAAATGCTATACCAACATCTGCTTACGTTGACATACAGAGGTTTTTCTTTTTTCTTTCTTTCTTTTGCAAGTTCAGGGTTATGTTTCATTTTCTTCTAGAAATCACTCAGGGATCACTTTAGCAAGTCATTGGGTTTTGTATAGCATTTTTATTTGCCACCAAAAGATGAATTTAAAATAATGAAACTTGCAGGTCTGTACATTAAACATATATCTAATTTTTAACAGAGGAAGAACATTGAAGCCACATAAGATTTTGTGAGAAATGTACTATATAACTGCACTTTTTTTTCCTCTGGAAGATTATGAGGTACTGCAGACAGAAATGTTTTTCTTTCAGCACAATTTCTTTGTCCATATAGCACCATATGCACTTTCAGTAAATACAGAAGTTTAAAAATTCAACTGTCTAAACCCACGGCTGCTTTACTTTAAAGAAATAAAATGCCATCTGGTGAAATTTAGTATGGGTTAGGTGTGTATGCACAGGCTAGAAAGATGGAAAGATCAGTAAGAATAATTTACCAGCAGACCTTTGGAAGAATGGAAATGGCTTTACAAGAGTGGTATTTTTGCTTTCCTCTCAGAATATCTTCTGAGAGAGGAGAACATTTAGTAATTATAAAGATTTAAAAATAAATTAAAAAGCATCTGAAAAGAGAAGTAAATCTTATGTACAATTTCATTTTGGCTAACTCTACATAATTCCAAAGAAATTGGTCATCTTGACAGATTAGTAAAATGGTTGACTGAATTAAAAAAAATACACATACAACAGTTTCTTGGAGTGTTCTGTCTGTTTTAATGCAATTCACTTGGATAGATTTTGTTATTCCACGTAAACACAGTTGTTAAATCTACTGTGTCCTTAATTTTTCCACTAATGGTTTTCTTTTTTGGAAATTTATAATGTTCCCAGCCCCCTTAAAACACTTCATGGCAACCTTTCCTGGATTGTACATGAAAGGTAATGGGGAAATGTTACCAAAACATGTTGCTATTTGCCTTAGTCAACTTGTCTGGCTACTATGGGGCATTTTCTCCAGCAAAGAGCAGGACAGTGGCTTGTGAACTTCCTTTCAGACATTCTCCAGACATCCCTCCCTGAATTCCAGCTTTATGAAAATTCTGTTGAGGAAAATGAATCATTAGACACTTACTGGCAGAGAACTGTATTCCTGGTGGCTTGGGGCTGGGCCCTCTCCTTTGCTGTTGGTGGAGTCACCTCTTTACAAACTGAAGTAATCATTAAGAGTAATATCCAAGGGGTGCTATATACTTGCAGGTATCTCCAAGTGATTGTGCAACACTTAGATCTGAGATAAAAGCCACCAGCCAGGTCCTGGATGAATTGTTTCTGTGTAAGTCCTCCCGGATCGATTGCCTTCTGTGGAACCCAGTGTGTTCTCAGAAGTTCTGTCCTAACCTGCCAAAGCCCCAGAATACAAAGGTAATTTTTAGTGGGTGATTACCAAGACTTTACATTGTAGAGAGAAACAGACTATAATAAATGATTAGGGTATAATTAAAATACCATCCTGAGAGCACGTTAGTTCTTGCAATTAAGAATGCACTGACATGTGATTGGTCTGAGCACCACTTAGGATTCTATGGCTGCATGTGGCCACAAGATACTCATGTAATAGGCTCTGTGAAGAAGTTGGGGTGCTTTAACACACATTTAAGTTGAAACTTAGTAAGGGGGGAAAATGATGAGAGTGAAACAATGTCTTTTAAGTTTTTTTGTTTTCTCCTTGGAAGGTTGGGTAGGTCAAGCTGTAACTTCTGGAAAATTCTTACTAGTTTGAACTGTTTTAAGAAAACTTAGACTGCAGAAATAAAGATGTCAAGTTTTTCCATCTGATTTCATAGTTTAGGAAGGTATTGTTTTTATAGAGTCACACGTGTTCATTCATTTGAGATCATGTGAATGTGTTCTAATTTTCATCCAGACAAGAACTCTTATAAAATTTGTATTTTAAAAATATTATAACATCTTTATGAGCTTTTTTTTTTAAAATTTTGGAGTCAAAATGAAAACGCTTTTGCTAACTTTTTAAAAACATGTAGGAAACTAACTCTTATTCCTACTTTTACATTTGTTCAGAAAACAAAAATGAATCAGACACAGTCTGTGTCCTTAAGGAACTTACATTCTAGTACAAGTATGGCAGGTACATTCTTACATACTTGCTTCCTTCAGCTTCCTAAATCTCTTGCTCAGAAATAGCCTGAAGCTGAGCTTGTGTTCAGTAGAGTTTTCTCACTGGTTGGTGATTTCTGCATGGACCTGGAAGGAGAACCAGAAAGGACACATACCACATGCATGTAATCCTTAGGTCAAGTCTAACCTTTGTTAGGACTGAGACTTTCCTAGGAAAACAACTCTGGATCTATTAAAATGCTATAAAATCAGAAAGGATGACGTTGGCATGTAAAAATGTAAGGACAACAATTAAGACAGTAGAGGCTCATCAACTGAGTTTTTTCCAGAGAGGGGACCTTGTGAGGTTGACGTTGGAATATGATTACAATCTGGTAAGCCCACTGGATATGTGAGCTATGACATAAATCCTTAGGTTATAAGGAGGAGAGCTTACTAGAACTATTTATTAGAAGCCAATGTATGTCTGCAAAAGTGATTTTGATTTATATGTTTTCCCAGAAAAACACATTCAGAGATATATTCCTAGAGTCTGAAGGTAAGACCATGCTGAAAGCGTGAGGATATTATATTTTTATTTAAGGTGGGGAGATGAAAGAGAGATATGTTGATTAATCAAAAGCCATGGCAAATTATTTAAGGGCAAGTTACAAGTTAGGAGAATAAGGGTTAAAGTGCAGGAAACATAAGCCTGATTTTACATTCTTTAAAATAAAAATTTGCTTCTAGAAAGCAAAAGCTCCTAACATCCTACCCATTTGATTCCTCATATTCAATACACATTTATTGTTCACTGTTATCTACAAAGTGATTTAATACATTACTTCATGTGATCCATATCAAAATTCATTTTTCTGATTAGGAAACAGCCCAGAAAAACTAGATAACTTGCCCACGATTTTAACAAGACCTGGTGTTACTATCTTACATTGCTTCTTTGTGATACTTTCTCAAGTTTTATTCCAAAATGATAAATATTTTTAAAAAATTATAATTGACATTTCACTGATTTGTAATTGGGGGACACCTTAGGGATGTGAAGGTAAAATAATTAAGGCTAAAATATTAATGATCTTCGGATCCTCAGAGTACTTTTTTACACATATCTCAAAAACACAATTTCACTCTACAAAGATTGTATTCAACATATTAACTTATTTCGAGTTTTTTTTTATTTAATTGGGGTCTGGTAATCAGATAATTATTTATATAGTGCATGGGTTAAAATCTCTTCCTCCACGGACTTGCTTAAATGAAAGGATTCATCAACATACCCATCATCCATAAAGATTTTTGAGTTCCAAGCTAGGAAGAGTCCTGAGGTCTTCAAAGCTCAAAATAACTATCACATAGTTATAGATCTGGAAGAAGTGGCATAATATAGCACCAGTGAGAAACCATATAGCTCAAACTATTTTTTGAATCTGATCTCTTTTCTAAAACCACAACTGTTACATAAGGAAGAATATAAAGCCACATGCCTCCCAGTTTGTAATTTGTACCTACTACCTTCATCAATGTTAGAATTAGATGTTAGTGTATTATTATCCTATCATAACTAGGGCGAGTTCTCTTTGGAGACCCAAAGGGTTGACTTTCAACATGGGATTAGAAAAGAAACAGAATAGGGACACAACCCCTTTCTTTGAGTGCTGAGGACACAAAGACTCAGAAGATAACTCAGTGCTTCACTGTCATTTAAAAATTGAAATATTACATCTTTTTAGAAGTGGGTAACCAACAAGAAGACTGTTTGAATAATATAAATAGAACATGTAAGCACCTATAGACTTTAACATAATTTATTAACACATATTGTTATTTCATTAACACTTTTAGGTAGAGAATATTGCAACTAGTAGTTAATGTCTAATGAACACTTATTGATAATGAAGCTTTTCTTGGCACTTTGCATGTACTATTGCCTTTCATCCCCAGAACATTTGTACTATTATTAACCTCCTTTTACAGATGAGGGCATGGAAGCACAGAAAATTTAAATAACTTCCCCAAAGTCCCACAACTTATGGGTGGGGGGATGGGATAAACCCAGGTAGTCTCACATTATATAACACAATTTGATTGATTCATGTTTAGGGCTCAGATAAAAGGGTATTTATTGGTACAGTGGTTGGGATGTATAATCCAGCTGGAACCGGGAGGAGTTGAAGATGAAAGGAAAAAATACATGGGCTAATAAACTGGACATTTTGATAAATTCAAAGTATGAGTAGTAGTAGTAACTAGTAATAAGGTGGGAAATAAAAGAGTTTTTTGTTTTCTTTTTTAATGAGATAGCAGCAGGTTGTATTTAAAATTTCAGTTCCAGTTACAACACAGCCTAAGGTGTGCTCACAGAAGTGAGTAGCTAAGATAGAAGAAAGAAGTGAAGATTCTCAGAGTATAGTTGGCAAAGCAGTGAGAGACTAAAATATCCTTTGTGATAATCACCTGGGAACTTAATTCACTGCAAATTATGGCTATAATTAAGGGCAGGGGAGAAATTGTCCCAATTCTTTATAAAACAGATGGAGACATCTCCAGTTTAAGATGCCAAACGGAACATATCATTGCCTATGGAAATTCCATTAAACTGATGGTAAAGGAGGAAAAGGATACAGGCATGACATGAAGAGACTGGAGAAGTATCATCAATAGATAAAGCAGAACAGAAATAGCAACTGCCTGGACTACACCCAGAAAGGAATAATTTTGCTTGGCAGAAGCATGAAACAGTTCCATATTTGAGATGGCATTTACCACTGAGGGTAAGAAAGGGAGATGGGCTGAAAAAAAGAGGACCGGTTGGAAATCTACACATGGACTCTTCACCTCTGGGTGCAAAAATAAAAAAAATGCAGCTACTTATTTATCCCGGGAGTTTGGATGGGAGTCAGTGCACCAAAGTCAATCCAGTCCTCCAGTTTAATGGCTTTCTGACCTTTATTCTTAAGCCCACCAATTATATACCAGGATCTCTCCAGTATCACCTCATTCTTTTGTTGTTGTGACAGAGTCCCACTCTGTCTCCAGGCTGGAGTGCAGTGGCGCAAGCTTGGCTCACTGCAACCTGTGACTCCCTGGTTCAAGTGATTCTCCTGCCTCAGCCTCCAAATAGCTGGGATTACAGGCACAGGCCACCATGCCCAGCTAATTTTTGTATTTTTAGTTGAGACAAGGTTTCACCATGTTGGCCAGGATTGTCTCGAGCTCTTGACCTCATGATCCACCCGCCTCTACCTCCCAAAGTGCTGGGATTACAGGCATGAGCCACCACACCAGGCCTCTCACCTGACTCTTAATCTGCTACAAAAATAAGAATCAGTAGACAAGAATAATATTTTTAAAAAAGAAAATGAATCAAACCCTAAAACATAAAAGAAAAATCAATTTTTTTAAGCAAGATAAATAAATCATTTAAATGACCATAGAGATAATTCTGGGAACAGAAGCCTTTTTCAAAAGTTTGAATTAGCATTCTCAATATCTTGATATTCAACAAGATATTGCCCACAATTTAGAGATGAAGCTAAAAAAATGTAACATTCAAAAAAAACACTGTGATAGATAAGTTTATGTGTCAACTTGCTGGGATAAGGAATGCCCAGGTAGAGGGTAAAACATTTTTTTCTGAGTATGTCACCCTCATTTTGAGGGTGTTCCTGGAAGAAATCAGAATTTGAATCAGCATTGAGAAAAGAAGATCAGTCTTTACCAATGTGGGTGGAAATCATTCAGTGTTAAAGGTCTCTCTCTCCTTGAGCTGGAACATCTATCTTGTCCTGCCCTAGGATCCTGGTTCTCAGACCTTCTGACTTTGAAACTTGTACCAGAGCCCTCCCTGATTTTAACCTCTATAATTGCATAAGCCAACCTATTATGGGTTGGCTTTTTATCTATCATCTATCTATCTATCTATCTATCTATCTATCTATCTATCTATCTACCTACCTACCTATTTCCCATTAGTTTCTCTCAAGAAGCGTGATGAATATGCTCTAATATATTGAAAATATGATCACCGAATTTATTTAAATCAAAATAGGTTTTGTGAAATAAAATTTAGAAAGTCTCTCAGAACAGAAAGACAAAGTTAGATAATATGATGGAAAATTAGGAAACGTAAATTATGAACTCAGGAAGTTTCAGAAATAAAGAGTAAAGAAGGCAAAGGAAAAAAGGTTATTACAGAATGAATACAAGAGACTTTCCCCAAACTATAAAAGAAGATACATTTTTTAGGGCCCACAAAGTGTCCATCACAAAATACGAGAAAAGACTTACACATAATTGTGAAATTTTGTAATACTGATTATTAAGAGAAAATATTATATTCTTTCTCAGAAAAAAATAAGTATCATGTGAAAGAAGCAAGAATTGGACTGACCACACATTTGTCATTGCCAATCAGATACTGCAAAACAATGGTTCTATTTTTTCAAAGTTCTGAAATAAAATGCTAATCAAATTAGAATCTGCTTAGCTAAGACACTGCCAAGTATGAGGACAAAATAAAGGTATTTTCAGATGTGTAATAATTCAGAGTTTATACTCCAAGCATTCTTTTGTAGAAAGTCACTCAAGTGTGTATTTCAGCAAAATAAAGAAGTAAAGTACGAGAGTCATCACTCAGAAAGCAAATGAAGCGATCAGATGCTAACAACAAACATTGTGTGACTTCCTATCACCAGCCACTTCTGAAGTCAGATCTATTTTCTTGAGTAAGTAATTTTCTTCTAAGTTTGGGTTGTTTTTCATATCATTTGTAACCAGGATTCCTGGTATTCACGATATGTTTGGAGGTACTAGGTGAAGTATAAAAGCAGAATCTCTATGTACCTTCTCCACTGAAAACCATAAGAATTGGTGCCACAGAGAAAGAAATACGATTCTACTGAACCAGTTAGCTCAAGAGTAATGGCTAAGTAGTCATAGTAATTTAAACTGTTTATTGATTTTAAATTTTTAGAATTCACTAAGACCTTTATAATCAGAGAAATTATCAACCTTGACAAGTATAAATATAAATGCACACGTAACCAAAGTTGGGAAGTGAAAGAGAGTGAAGAAAGGTGGGTGAGGTAGGCAGAGGGCACGAAAACCTGTGTCCTTATCTCCCAAAACAGATAGTGAAGAGATCTCTCCCGTGAAAACCAGAATAAGCAATGGAGGCACACATAACAGTCCCTGCCAAGTCATCACCAAATGGTGCTGAGGACACATTGCAGGAAGTAAATACTTATATTCATAGAAATATAGAAGCCACATGATTTTTTTAATGTAATTTCAGAAGTTCAAAAATATGTCTACAAACTCATGTGATGGGTATTAGGTCTATTCCTAAATAGTCTCATACAATAGATGAAATTTGTGCTTGGCATCTTTTTCCCTTTTTTGGAATATTTGCTCCACAGTGCAATAAAAAAAATGGGTAAAGGATAAAACCAGGCAGTTCATGCAGGCAAATCCACACATTCAAAAAAGGTGAAAATATAAAAATAAAGTTTCTAAATATTACCAGGAATCAAAGAAATGCAAAATAAAATATCAAAATAGGATCATTTTAATTTGGATGATCAGAGATTAAAAAGACTGGAGAATCACAGTGATAGCGAGGCTATGGAGAAGCTGACACTCATACTTGGTGGTAGAAGAAGGACTGAAAACTTTCTAGAGGGAAATTTAGGAGTAAATGTCAAAATTATGCATATTTTTTGGTATAGCAAATCTACCTCTAGGAATGTGTTTTAAGATTAACATTGGATAAGTGTACAAAGATGCAACTTCAAGAATATTTGTTGAAACCCCGTTTACAACATTCAGAAATTAAAACTGTTTAGGAATTCATCCAGACAAAATCAGACAAATTAATTATGTAACACATAAAAATAAATGATGCAGGTATAAATTTGTTGACATAGAAAATGTCTACAATCTATTGCTTAGTATATCTAATACGACTTTATTTTTGTGGAGGGTAAGAAGGAAATGTTTATGTAGCTGTGTACATAGTGGAAACTCTGGAAATACATGTCTCAGAGCCATGAGTACCAAGGTGAGGGCTTGGTGCCATGGTCTGCCTTGGAAGTCAGTAAGAAAAGTGGTACAATGTCTATAGTATATTTACAAATAGTAGTAAAATCTCACTAAAAGTTGATCTTCTCTTTATTGTCACCCTGTCCAGAAATTCTAAGCTATTTTTGAGATAAAACATTTGTTCCTGCTGAGGCAGATGACTCTACTCCAACCATACCCCTTCCTTGGTGTGCTATTTCATCAGAAGTCAAAATTATGATATCCCAGTGAGAAGATAAAATTAGATAAGAGGGCTAGCTGATCAAGAAAATTACAGAACATATTTCTTTGTGTAAGTAAAAAATACCAGGCCAAGTATAAGGACTTCCAGTCCTTGCCTGGTCTCCCCTCTGGACTTCCTGGACTCCCTGTCCTCTAATTTGGCTCTTGACCCATCAATGGGAGCCTGGGGTCCTCTCTCCACAAACCTACCAGCCATGCCACAGATGCAGCCTTTTTCTTTCATGAGCTTGAATGATTTTTTTATAATCTTATACCCATGGCAAGTTTGAATTTTAAAAGAAAATCCCTAAAAATGCCATGCTTTAATCTAAAATAATGAGTATCTTAACAACGGTGAATTCAGGCACCATGGCTGGCTGATGGGAAGGTTATGTAACTATTTCAGGAAGCAGATTTTAAGGCAGTGAAGAGACTAGGACAGGAGGAGACAGAAGTTTGTGTAGCACATCTTACATCATATCACTCAGGTATCCACCTACTGTTACCATATCCACCTACTGTTACCATACTGAGTAAGGCCAGGCCTCAGGTTTTCAAGAGATAAATCAGATGCTATCACGGAAAATCAACTGGCCTGACTCAAGGTTTGTGTAGTTTTAAGCCCATACATACATAATGTTTCTTATGTGTTTGGTAGAAGACATTGGAAAAGATAAAGAGAATGATAAGAACATAAAATTTATGGATGAAAAAATAATAAAGACATTACCAAAATGAGCTTAAGTCCTTGCTCAAATGTTACCTTCTAAATGAGGCCTAATTCCCCATTTAAAATCAGCTCCCATTAGCTTCCAATTTTTCTGAACTTACTTTTTCCCTCCATAGAACTTACCACCAGCCAACATCTTATAACATTTATTATTTTTATTGCTTATTACCTCTTTCCCTGCATGGAGCTCGATGAGAGCAATCACTTTTGTTTGGTTCACTCATGTATCCCAAGAGCTAAGGAACAATGATTGGCATAAAACAAATATTTAATCAATATTGTAGCCTGAATGAGTGAATGAATGAATTAATGAATTAATGAAATAATGAAGGACAGAGAGGTTATGGAGCTTTCCTTTGGCCCTCTGTGGCCCAACCTTTTAGTACACCAAAAGGGAGCACTTCCAGGTGTGACCAGGAAAGAGTCAAGCTCCTTTTTTTGTTAAACAATTAGATGTCAACCATTGTTATCTAAAAATGGTCATTTAATCCTTGTGCTACTACTTCAGGGTGACTTTCAAGATAAATTCTAGGTTTAAAAAAATTATAATGTGGAGAATTAGTAATAGGAGAATTTACTGCAGCTATTCAGTTATTTTTTTTCCTGAGAACTGAAAGATTAGCAGCTATTTCTGAGAAGTATCTGTTTTATGGATTAGTAAAGTGAGAATTAGTTGAACTTCATGTTTAATTCCTTTTGAAATTTTAATTAGTGAAATTTGAATGAATGCATAATCTAATC